AGGGAGACCCTCAGCAGGCATTTCAGCCGTACCACGAAGGGAGACCCTAAGTGGGATGTCAGACTACCCCGAAGGCAACCCTCAGGGGTTATGCCAGTCGTACCCCGAGGGCGAACCCTCAAACGGGTATGTTCAGCCGTACCCCGAAGGGAAACCCTCAGCGTGTATGCCAGCCGTACCACGAAGGGAGACCTCAGCGGGTAATTCAGCCGTACCCCCGAAGGGAACCCTCAGCGGATATGCCAGCCGTACCCCGAAGGGATACCTCCAGCGTGTATGTCAGTCGTACTCCGAAGGGAGACCGTCGGCGGGTATGTCATCCGTACCACGAAGGGAGACCCTCAACGGGCGTTTGAGCCGTACCACGAAGGGAATATCTCAGCGGATATGTCAGCCGTGCCCCGAGGGGAACCCTCAGCGGATATGCCAGCCTTACCCCGAGAGGGATACCTCCAGCGCGTATGTCAGTCGTACTCCGAAGGGAGACCGTCAGCGGGGATGTCAGCCGTACTCCGAAGGGATACCTCCAGCGCGTATGTCAGTCGTAATCCGAAGGGAGACCGTCGGCGGGTATGTCAGCTGTACCCCGAAGGGAAACCCTCAACGGGCGTTTGAGCCGTACCACGAAGGGAGATCCTCAGCGGATATGTCAGCCGTACCCCGAAGGGGACCCTCAGCGGATATGCCAGCCGTACCCCGAAGGGATACCTCCAGCGCGTATGCCAGCCGTACTCCGAAGGGAGACCGTCGGCGGGTATGTCAGGCGTATCCCGAAGGGAGACCCTCAGCAGGTATTTTACACGCCTTGCGAGGACTTAGTCAGTTGCAGTTGGGTACGAGGCTTTCAGTGAGTTCAATCAAACAGGTATACGTGGGGGTCTCCAGACCTGGGAGGGCTAACCGGAGGCGCTGGCATCTGTCAGATTTCATGAAAGCCATGCGGGGATGCCGTTTTTTGTGCCGTTTCTTTGTAATTGCCTTTTCCCGGTGTTTCCAAGATGACGCTGGTCGCCCTCTGGAGGTCTCTGCCCGCCACAAACTCTGAGGGTGCCGCTGTGTCCTCTGGCGCGTCTTTGCCACCGGCTTCTCTACGGCGGTGCCGGACCTTGCCTGGAGCCTTCTGGCGGCGGCGTCTCGGCCTTACGTCGTACCTGTTCCTCTGAGCCGCTTGACCCTCTGCGGCGATAACGCGCCGGCTCGCGTGAGGCGACGCCGGCTCTGTCCGGACCCGTCGGCCGGCAGCACCGACCCGCGGTGGCGGCGCCGGGTCCTCTCCGGACGACAGTATCGGCACCGGACATCGGCGGCCGCCAGCTCCAACAACGGCGGCTCCGATGCCCCGCCGATACGAACCGGTCCGCGCCGGCCCCACCGCTGATTGGTGGCACCGGGGGCCGGACCGGCCGGGCCCCCGGCTGCGCACCTCCACCTGCGACGCTCAGGTGCTGCTCGGCTGCTGGCTCGACCGACCGCACCATGGACAACGTCAACGGAAAAAACGTCAAGATCTCGGCTCGCGTGCGCGGCGAGTGGCTTATGGTGCCCTGCCAGAAAGGTGAGCCAGGAAACCGGTCGTGGGATGGTGTCGGAGGACCGGTAACAATCGCGAGGTCGTGGCTGAAAATCACTGACAAAACCATCGTCACAAGTGTGTCGTTTCCCTGGACATTGTTCGAATGTTCACAAGCTTTGCCCTTCAATTCTGCTTTCGTGCCCAATGGATTGTTCTTTGCTCCAACCAAAACGAAGCATTGACGGTCATCGCGTTCGTCGCCCAACCTTCCTTGTCACCCCTTGGCCTACTGTTCACGACACTCGCTGAGGCTCTGGGTCGTTCTAAATCTACATAACGTGCCGTGCACCCAATAAGATACGAATGCTTTCGAATAATTATTGTATGGTGAACTCGTATTTCCTGGCTTATGTATCTGTACTTTGGTCTTTTTTTGTCATTCGCTCGAACGACATTCGACCGGCCTTGCCAGATAACAAAGGCAAACCTATTCTACGAGTGTTGGCCAAACACGTTCCTCGCTTTGCGCCGGGCAGACCGGCCTTCGTCAACAATCAGTGGATAACTGGCCCGCCACGTGGTCTTCCGATGAATATGCACGCACAAACATTTCCTACTGAAAGTCCTTACCTTGTATCTGAGTGACCACCGCGCTGGGACGGCGGTGGAGCGTGTGTCGGCCGACCCGAGCGTACCTCAGCTGACCCGAGCGTGCCTCGGCTGACCCGAGCGTACCTCAGCTGACCCGAGCGTGCCTCGACTGACCTGAGCGTGCCTCGACTGACCTGAGCGTGCCTCGGCTGATCCGAGCCTGCCTCGGCTGACCGGAGCGTGCCTAGACCGACCCCAGCGTACCTCGGCTGACCGGAGCGTGCCTCGGCTGACCCGAATGTGCCTCGGCTGATCCGAGTCTGCCTCGGCTGACCGAAGCGTGCCTGACCCGAACATCCTTGGCTGACCGGAGTGTGTCTCGGCTGATCCGAGCGTGCCTCGACTGACCCGAGCGTGCCTCGGCTGACTCGAGCGTGCCTGACCCGAGCGTAACTCGGCTGACCCGAGAGTGACTCGGCTGACCCGAGTGTGACTCGACTGACCCGAGCGTGCCTGACCCGAGCGTAACTCGGCTGACCCGAGCGTACCTCGGCTGACCCGAGCGTGACTCGACTGACTCGAGCGTGCCTGACCCGAGCGTAACTCGGCTGACCCGAGCGTACCTCGGCTGACCGGAGCGTGCCTCGGCTGATCCGAGTCTGCCTCGGCTGACCGGAGTGTGCCTGACCCGAACATCCTCGGCTGACCCGAGCGTGCCTCGCCTGACCCGAGCGTACCTCGGCTGACCGGAGCGTGCCTCGGCTGATCCGAGTCTGCCTCGGCTGACCGGAGTGTGCCTGACCCGAACATCCTCGGCTGACCCGAGCGTGCCTCGCCTGACCCGAGCGTGCCTCGGCTGACCCCAGCGTACCTCGGCTGACCGGAGCGTGCCTCGGCTGATCCGAGTCTGTCTCGGCTGACCGGAGTGTGCCTGACCCGAACATCCTCGGCTGACCCGAGCGTGCCTCGCCTGACCCGAGCGTGCCTCGGCTGACCGGAGCGTGCCGGCGACGCCAGGTAACGTGCGCGTGCAGTGGCTGTCGGAGGAGGCGCTGCGCCGGTACGAGCGTCTACAGCCGGCCACCTACGCCGGCCGCGTCGAAGTGGTGGCCGAGGTTAGGAAGACGCGCGGCGGCGCCATCCTCGACCCGCACGACCTCGTGGTCGACGTGCTCGACGACAACGACTTCGTCTCGATCGGTACGGGGCAGCGGCCGGTGGCGGCTGAAAGCGGACCTCCTTGCCAGACTTGGCCGGGGCTCACGCCGCCGCCGCCGCCGCCATGTACGCTTTGTAGTCCTCAAATTTGAGGCTTCACACTGAGCGTTCGCCACTGTTCAAAATGTTGTGCACCTCTCTGTTTCCAGGTCGGCTGCGCTCGTGCCTCGCCGTGTGCATCTTTCAAGCCCGTGAAGTGAAGTGTGACGGGGTAAATAGACATCACACGTCAGATGTAATTCCGTTCATTGAATTGCCTGGATGCTTTTTCAATCACACGTTCATGCATGCGCCATCTGAAAACTGGACGGTGTCAGGGTGTTATGCAAACAGATATGGGATGTAGGGTGGAGTACGCAATTTATCTAAGCCGCACGGCAACGCCTGAAACTACATTGCGCCGGCGTGTTTCAAAATGCTCAAGGGTCGCAAACACTTTTTTTTCTCACTCACACCCTTGACGCGGTTTCGAAGTGGCAAGCCACCGTTCGTTCAGTTTACCAGCTCCGTTATTACCCATCCATCGCGTTAGACAATCTTGGTTGCGTCACCCCTAAAAATCCGATGTTATCTACCCGCCTGTCTGCGACGCCCTCGCAATTAACCGTCCGTGTCATTACTCAATCGTACGGAAAAGATCCCAATCTTACAAGAGGGACCCTAAATGTCCGCTTATCATTGTAGGGAAGTTATGGTGTGCTCAAATTCACCAAAATAAACATTTGAATCACCTTGGCTCAACATGTACTGATTGGACAACAGATATAGGTTCGGTGACACTGTTTCATCACATCCTATACCAAAGGCACCAGTGCATTAAGTACACCGGTATGGTGCATCGAAACTGGCCGTGGAAATTATCACCAGATTTGTCGTGCTCTGCTTTTATTAAAGACATCCTTATCTGATAATATGTTTTGCACACCAGTGGCTATAGACCAAAAGGGGCAAACATTCAATGCACTCCAATGTGAATGGACGATATAAAATTTGCATCTCATTCGTTGCAAACGAGTTCTGGCGTGAAAACCCACTGCCTGCACCGTACACGTGTACTTTGGCTCTCGGCGACTTCCGCGACCCAGGCGGCCTGCCTGCGCAGCCACAGTCTGCCAGAGGGCAGCCACCGTCAGCGATCGCCGTCCGCTGCTGTCGCCACCAGCCGTCACCGTTCGTCAGGAAAGGTCGCTAGCCTGGGGCTCTGGCTGACCGCTGCGGTCAAGGGGCCCGGGCGCCGTGTAAAGCGGAGCCCTGTCTGTTCGGCGCCGCTTGGGGCTGGACCCGCCGCCCACACGGCTGCTAGGGGCCTCACCTGACCTTGGTGCCCCGAGGCCCGGCCGCTCGTCCGATCTCGATGCAGTGGGACTCTGGCGTCTTGATAGCTTGGTGCAGCCTGGTCGGAGGCGGAGACCCTGCCTGCGCCTGAGAGGGGAGCGGGGCGACGCTGGCCGGGACGGGTCCCTCATTACAGTTGGCTGTAGGGGGCTCCCACCTGGCCCAGCGAATAGCGGGCTCTTCAGGTTCGCCTCGTGTTCTAGGCGTGGGCCTTGAGCCGCGGCGATGGCGGCGCTTTGGGAGGCCGTGAGTGGATGATACGGCAACAGTGCTGAACAGGTTGTTTGTCTGTTTTCAGTTCTGGAAAGCGACCGGCCAAACCCGGTCACAGAGAGCGCTGAGATTCACTACGTGCCGGAGCAGATGTATCCTTTTGACTGCTAGTCGTCTACCGATGGAGTCCTGTGCTGTGGCGGTGTCAGTCTTGCCTTGCCGGGATAGGGTCTTCGAAAGGTGGCATCTTGTTTGCGTGGCGTTCGTGCGGTTCATGTCGCCTAAGCTTTGTATGCAGTCACCACTTATGTACGTTATGTTGTGATTGGCATCGGTTGCGTGGCTTTTTAGCTTTCCTTAACTAATGGCATCAGTGAGTCTTGCAATGGAGAAGGACCAAAAGAGGTAAGCAACGGGCATGGCCTTCGTGGATATCCAAGAAGTCGCTGTTGTAGCGACTATGCAATATGGTGATGTATGCAAATGTGCCAATATTTTTATCTGAAAGCATATCACTTTTTGAATTATTGAGAACCAGGTGGAGTGCGGTTCATGAAGGTCATTGGAGCCTTAATGCACTTTCCATATATATATATATATATATATATATATATATATATATATATATATATATATATATATATATATATATATCGCAGTTATGCAGTCAAATGCAGTTGGTGGCTGAGAAACGCAATGATATGGAGATTGGACGAGCACCTATCGAATAATGTATTTGGTACATTTCACAACAATGTTTATGAGCTTTGGCGTGGGTTTCAAAGCTACAGCGTTGCTACTTTGGCTTTCGCGTTATAGGTCGATGCCTTGGTTGGAGGATCTATAATGCAATCATCGCGCGCACTGGCAGCTTAAACGAAAGCTCTACTTTAAAGATGGTGACAATTCCGCACAAATAAATTCTTAAGTTCACTACCAAGAAAACAGATTCCTCTCAGGTAAAAATTATTGAGTTGTTCAATGTGCTCAAAAATTCCCACCATTGCCAGTCGCACGCAGTCGCCTGCTCCAGTATGTAAATTACTCTCTAAAGCACTCGCATCAAAATCTTCAATTCAAGCCATGATTGATCGTAGAGCCAGCAGTATCGATTCCTGTCAGAGAAACGAATCGTGTGTCTCATGCTGTCTGCATGGCAAGAGGTCTGGGAGAGATGCTGAGTGCGATAAGCCGAAGCTTCGTTCAAGATCAGATGATCTTGACCAGGAACTGGAGCAGTTGGCAACAGATCTCCTTCCGAAAATTCTCAAGATGCCGTTTACGAAGGAACAATGGAGAGCAGCCATTCTTAAAGTCTGTGGGAAGTTAGCGCTAGAGGGCTTTGGCAATGACTGTTCAGAATACGATTACCCAAAAAGGACCGAAAGACGACGAATCGCCTGTCCTGAACGTCCCAAATTGCCAATGGCAGGCTTGTCTGCTATGGAGCAACGAATGTGTGAAAGGGAGGGAGACTACATACCAGACTACAGCTTACAGTATAGACCAGACTACGGCCCACAGCCACAACCGCCGCTCAAACAGCAATCAACGCAAAAACTACCACAGAAGTCGGATTGTCCATCCCCTGAGGCGATGCCCATTGGCCTCCCTGTGATATGGGTTCCCAAATTGCCTCTGCAGACAGCAAAAATGCTGCAGGCATTGCCTTGCGAACTCTTCAAGGATATCCATAGAGACTGCCGACAGGCGCCGAGGCGACGTCCCAGATCTGTTCCAAAGCAACCCGCGCCGCTACCAGCCAGGAGGTCAAGGGGCCGCAGGAGACCGTGCAGGAGGTGGACGCGGCAGGAGCGCGAGTGCTTCGGGTCGGGCCCAGCCTCATGGGGAGGCCCAGCCCCGAGGCCCAGGAGCGCGAGGAGGACCCCGCCAGCCTTTGAACCGGCGCCCAAAGCGAAGGCGCCGCCGAAGCCGAAAGCTGCCCCCAAACCAAAGAAGGCGGCGGCCAAACCAAAGGCCAAGGCGGCAAAGAAGCCGCCTGCCAAGGCGGCCAAAGCCGAGTCGGAGAGCAGCAGCAGCAGTTCAGATAGCAGCGAGTCGGACACACCAGCGGCGACACCAGCCGTGGCGGCGCCGGCAGCGGCTCCGGCCCCGGCCGCCCCCGCCGGCAAACAGGACTTCTTGTCGGACCTGTTCGCCGGCGCGGGCGGTGCGGGCGGCGCCAGCGGCGCGGCGTCACCTACCCCGGCCGCCACGCCCGGCCAGGCCGACTGGATGAAGGACTTTGGCGGCGCGGCCTCCCCCAAGCCGGCCTCGACCGGCGGCGCCGACTGGCTGACCGACTCGACGCCGCAGCCGGCGGCGGGGGCTGACGACTGGCTGACGGGCGCGGCCACGCCGGCCTCTACCGGCGCCGACTGGCTCAGCGACTCAGCGCCCAAGGCAGCTGCGCCGGGCGCCGACTGGCTCTCGTAGTCGGTACGGTACAGCCCCGACGCTGGCTTAGATATCTCTGATCTACGGAAGACCCGGCGCTCAAGGAACACGGTGTTATCACCGAGACTCATGCATAAGATTGGCGCGCTGCTCGCTGAGATATTCAACGGAAACTGACGTGAACATTGAGAAATAGAAATATAGCAAACTAACGGGCACATGCTGCTTTTATGCTACGGAACGCAGGGCGAATGCTGGATTCTTTCCTTAGATCAGCCTGGATACCGTGGGGATCCTTTGAACCCGCAGCCGTAGAAAATATAACTTAATCGTGTTTGTGGCATGCTCGTTTGGTTATAAAAGCAAAAATACAATTATCTTTCGTTGTTGTGCCAGGCGATGCACCGATTAATCGATTTGTGCGGCATTTGAAACTGCGCGATGCGGTGCACCCAACAAGGAAAACTGGTCAGGACCAGGATGTGACCACTCCATACCGATCCAGGATGTATCGAGCACATTATCTCTCGCTTTCTGACGTGAGGGGCTCGATGTGCTCAGGTGACGTAATGGTGCGCTTTCAGACCATGTACCTGGACGGCAACAGCATGTCAACGGACGACCTCGTCCAGTTGGGCAGGGGCGCCTACAAGATCAAGGTAACCGGCGGCCCCGAAGGCCAGCATGGCCATGGAGCTGCCGGATGGCTGCTGATCGCACTGTCATAAACACTGCAACAAACACTTCCCGGTCTGCTAGCATATCAGCTTCGCTGACCATTCTCAAGGACTGTCCATAAATTACGTTGCACATGGAGGGGAGGGGAAGGGAGTTTGATGGGGTGTAACGGAAGCGTAACAAAACAGGTAGAAACAGGAAGGTTTGGACACTGTCAAGTTACCATCAGACGTGGTAGATTATGCTAATTTTTTTTTTTAGAGAACTCAACACCTTAAAGTCAGGCGCCGTTGGCTTCCTCCCATGACAAGCAACACGCCCGCTGTTTATTTGGTATCGCTGTTTCCGCAAGGAACCAAGCGACGTTGCCCTTAACGCAGCGTAACCGGAGCAAGGAAGGTTTCTCCCACCGTAACCAGTGCGTTATCAGGGCAGGGAAGGATAAAAAAGCCAAAAATGCGTAACATGATTCGTGGACAGCCCCTCCTGGCGTTCCTGTGTAGTAACTGGGGTGTATTCGCAGTTGACCAAGGAGGCCGAGGAGCATTTGGTGAAATCCAGGGACCTGGTGGACAAGATCGTCAAGGAAAAGAAAGGTGAGTAATGGGAAACATTGGGAACATGGCGGAATAGCAACAGAAACACTGTAATCGAGGCTCTGTATTGCTACCCACGGCAACTTGCCGTTAATCTCATAGTTATAGCGTAATTAATATTTTGTCATATCCTGAACGCCCACTTGGTGCATCATACGCAGCTCGGCAGATGGTAATATTAAAACGCATGTTTGACCCCGGTAAAACGCAAAGAATAGTGACGTAAGTGTAAAGCGCATTTGCGAGGAACATTATGTATATAGATGAGACAGTGGTAATAGCCCTCATTGAAATGTCATTCAAAGTTCAAAAGGTCGTTTCAGGTTGAGTTAGATAGCTTTGGGTGTCACGGTCGCTAGATAGCCTTGGGTACATGCCAGGCCTGTGCAATTGAAGCTGAGCTGTGTGTATGACGTGAAAGCTGGTTACTAAACGTGAAGACAAATACCTTTTTTCCAACCAAAATTCAAAATTTCGAAATTATTTGCCTGTTAATCCCTCTTTCCGAAAAATCGGGTTTTGGAAGTCCAGAAAATAAATATTTGTGAAAAACGAATGGCTTTTTCCCCATCAATATTGGACGTGCGTGAGGACTCTAGACCTCGGGGCTGAGGCAGCACCTGCTTCAACCGGCCACAGCTACACGTGCGGCGCCGGCGCGTGCAGCAGCGTCTAGGCTAGCCTGCCGTAAACTGTATGCCGGTATGTCCAAAAGAAGTGTCTTTCTGGGATGTAAAGCCGGGTCTACACCCTGGCGGCCCGACACAAGTGTGGGAACGGTCGCAGAGGTCTTGTAAGCGGAGTTTAGCAACCGTTCAGTTCATGCGTAACGAAAATGCTTTCGGGAGCATCCTGCCGGTCATTTGAAGTGCCTGATTATACAGCTGAGGAACAAAACTCTTCGTATGAAATGCCTTTCTCCTGTCTCTCACATAACCGATAAATCATGTTTGCATAACGGACAAAGCGGATGTGTTCCGTTGGAAGACACGTCATTGAATCTCGACTTTAAATCTATGTAATGAGACAAACAGCGTCTAATGAGACTGAACCAAGTTCTAATTTGTACTTCATTCGTACATCCTTCTACATGGCACTCATCCGAATCAACTCATCGAAATGTAACAGCATTTCAGCATTGTAACAGCATTACCCGTCCGCCTGTCATATATTAGGGTGTATTTCGCGATGCACAGAACTGCCACGATAATGGGCGTGGCATCGCCCACGCAGTTCGCGGCGGGGAAACCGAAACATGCCGGTAGATGGTCTCGCTCCGACACCCCGGCAGTCGCCCGTCCATATATTGCACCACATTAGTGGAGGGGGGGGGGGGGGGGGGCTGAGATGACGGCCCGGTCGCGACATCGTCCCAGCCGCTCCAGTTTCACCTAAATGCCCCCGTCACCTGGAGGTGCGCACCGTCGCTGAAAGAGCCGAAAACACAAATGATTCACGATTGTGGTACTTTCTTCCCGCAGTCGTCTACGGCATTACGACCGGATTCGGCAAGTTTGCGAACGTGCAGATCGGCTCAGACAAGATACAGTGAGTTTTCCCGCGTGCATTGTTTTCCCTCAGCCATAGAACCGACAACTTATTCTCTCGCGGTTTAGAATAGCATTTCTGTTTACATTGTCGTGAAAACGGTGGTTCTGTGCATGTTGCCAGTCAGTAAACGTGGTTAATAAAAGGCGAAATGCACGCTTCAAACGCCAGAATACCACAGACAAAACAGTTGTCTTTGGAAAGTAATGATTTCAAAGCAGTCATCCCGAGACAGCACCCACGCCCGCCATACTCGTTTTCCCATGTCGTGTGTTCTGGTCTGCGCCCCACTCCGCCGCTCACCGCTTCTCACCTCTCCCTGCCAGTGAGATGCAGGTGAACGTGATCTGGTCGCACGTCTCGGGCGTGGGTGACCTACTCTGCTTCTCACCGTCTCTCGCCTCTCCCTGCCAGTGATATGCAGGTGAACCTGATCCGGTCGCACGCCTCGGGCGTGGGCGACCCGCTCTCGCCGCAGAAGACGCGCATGCTACTGGCGCTGCGCATCAACACGCTGTCCAAGGGCTGCAGCGGCGTGTCGCCCAGGATCGTCCACCAGATGATTGACGCTTTCAACGGTGAGGCGCGACGCTCATTGGCTGAGCGGAGGTAAGACCGCCGGGCCCGAGCGGCGGCCGAACACGGTCATAATGGTACTGGAGCTTCGCTGCTTGTCGAGTTTGTGCCGACGGTTTGTGGGACGTCATCTTTTAATATTGGTTATGGGCATCAGCCTTGCACAGAGTTTTCACGAAGAGCATCACGTGGCATCGACGAGCTGCAATTAACCAGCGGAGTTAACCAGTTGCAGTTAGCTGCCTTGAAGGCCATCACAGCGCGCGACTGCAAACATGTTTGAGTGGCGTAACCCATGATTCTGCTGCCAGCAAAGATCCGCCTAGGACTAGTTTTCGCTTCGGTGCCCGTGGCTCTCAGGCATGGGTACAGTGTCTCCGTGCCGGGCAGCAGCCTCGGCGCCTGTCGTCACCATGGCCTGCCCGTGTCCGGCAGTGTCCTGCCTCTCCTGGGTGCCCGAGAAGGGCTCGGTGGGCGCGTCTGGCGACCTGGCGCCGCTGGCGCACCTGGCGCTCGGTCTGATGGGCGAGGGCCGCATGTGGAGCGCCAAAACCGGCTGGGGGGACGCCCACTACGTGCTGGAGGCGCATGGCCTGGTGCCCATAAAACTCTCGTATAAGGTGAGCGTTCTGCCGCGCTGCGGAGCTGGACGGGGGGGGGGGGGGGGGGGGCGCTGAGGGCCGGGATGGAACGATATCCACGCCCGGTATGGACCGAAGCTGCGCGGACTGGGACGGACACACGCACACTTCGGACTCTGCCGTGTTCCATTATTTAAGGGTCTCTTCTTGATCCAGGCCGGGTTTCCGCGCTGGTTCCTGAACTGAGTGGCGTGACCCAAGTGAAGCTCGACTTCTGAAGCCAAGCGGCGGATGCGAGCGTGACCTGCACTGAAGCACCGAGAATGAGGGACCTTCCGAGTCGTTAGAATGGGGACAGTTCGGAGATCATAGAAAATCACCGCCTGTTGGCCTAACGAACCTCAGTGCCTTGCTGTCGCACCTCTTCACGGGTCAGGTGGTTGAACTCTGATTAAAGCAAGCAAAAAATGTATCCGACTGGATTCTGGTCCGTAGCCAGTTTTGCAGTCGGCTCTCACGGGGCATCTGATTCATCACGCGCACACCACGTTACGTAAAACAGCCGTCAAACCGGTCAGTTTCCGCCCTTGTGCATGGATATGGCTGCGTGATTTTCCAAGAAGCTCGGAAGACCCAAAAAATGTTCCCACAGATTGACATACCCTCGCGCATTTTGTTTAATTTTGCTCTTAGATACGGAGGTGTAAATACTGCGTGAATGCCAGAGTATCTAAGTTAGTTACATGCCAGAGTTAACGCCCGGGTCGGCTGAAACGACAACGGAATACATACCGCGGACAGCTGTCAAATAAATCTATTTGATTTATAAATTGATTAGACTAATTGGAGCGACTACACGAGGTCGGTCAATTTTGCAGTGTCGGGGTCATTGTTGGATGTCACGCCCGACACCGTGGGCCGAAGGGAGAGAATTCAAAAACGAACGAGATTCTGTCGCCTGTTTCGCGAGATGGTTGACCTAAGTGGACTCAATAATTCATGGCCCACATGCACCCCTTGTTAGAAGTCAGCGACCGAAGCACTTTTACCGAGTGCTCGCACCGATGCCAAAATCATGTCATGCCAAAGGCGACACGACCTCCCTACCCTCGATCAAACTGATTTCAAAATTATTTGCAAACTACGAGTGCGTCCGTTCTAACCTCACCGCCGAGCCCACTCTCACTTGCCATCTGTCAGACGCGTCGCCGAGCGGCCTGCGCCGCTGCTGACCGGCCGCGTGCCGCCCCCGCTGGGCGGCCGGCCGAGTCCCAGTCGGCTGACGCTGGCTGCCTGCCTACTGCCGCAGGACGGCCTGGCCATGGTGAACGGCACGCAGCTGATCGCCAGCATCGGCGCGGCGGCGGTGGAGCGGGCCGGCGCCGTGGCGCGCCAGGCTGACGTGGTGGCCGCCATCACGCTGGAGGTACTCAAGGGCACGTCGCGCGCCTTCGACAGCGACGTGCATCAGCTGCGGCCGCACAAGGGCCAGATGGAGGTGGCCCGTCGGCTGCGCGCCCTCCTCCACTCGGACACGTACCCGTCAGAGATTGCCGGTGAGTACCGCCAGCAGAGCCCGGACACATACCCGTCAGAGATTGCCGGTGAGTGCCGATAGCAGGGCCCGGACACGACAGCCGCGTGCCTTTCGGCTCTACATTCCCTGATTGCCAGTCCTGCATCAGACCTTTGCGTGTGCCGTTCTATCTCGAATCTCCATGACATCCCTGGTTTCATAGTGCATCATGGCTAAGCTCAATGTGACCGGTACCTTGCCGGGTCATGGTGTCTGGAATGTCATCGCCGTTTCCGATCAGAGTCTGCGCAGAACAGCCGCCGCCCGCGCAAAGTCCGTAGCCGAGCTGCGCCGCTCCCGGCGTCCCTGGTGACCAGCCTACGTGGAGCCTGCCTTCTAACCGGCCGCTTCTCCTGTTGCAGAGTCGCACCGCTTCTGCAACCGGGTGCAGGACGCGTACACGCTGCGCTGCTGCCCGCAGGTGCACGGCGTGGCGCACGACACCATCGCGCTCTGCCGCACCTGGCTCACCACCGAGCTGAACGCGGCCACCGACAACCCGCTGGTGCTGGTCGGCCGCGGCGAGATCATCTCGGCCGGCAACTTCCACGGCGAAGTACCCGGCCAAGGCACTCGACTTCCTGGCGAATCGGCGTGTCCGAGCTGGCCGCCATGTCGGAGCGCCGCGTCGAGCGGCTCTGCAACCCCGCCTATTCGGAGTTGCCCGCCTTCCTCGTCAAGGACGGTGGCTACAACTCGGGCTTCATGATGGCGCACGTGACAGCGGCGGCGCTAGTGTCCGAGAACAAGGGCCTCTGCCACCCGAGCTCCGTGGACAGCATCTCGACCAGCGCCGGCACGGAGGATCACGTCTCCATGGGCGGCTGGGCGGCGCGCAAGGCGCTCATGGTCAGTAAGAGAGAGAGAGAGAGAGAGAGAGAGAGAGAGATAGAGA